AGACGTACCTGTTTGATGGCTGAGTAAAGGAAAAATCCTACTTTTGAAATATATTTCCTTAGCGTAGATTATAGGAGGAAAGTATTTAAAAATGTGTTCTCCACCCTCACAAAAAGGGACACACGAAAAGATTTCAAGTTAGGCACACTAGAAATCATAGTAGTAATGATTTTGATAAAAATCAAGACTTTCGTCCCCATAAGTCACGTATTTCAATGGGGACGTACTTTAAACAAGTGTTTGCCATTTCGCAAAGAATAAATGAATTAATCACTTTTCAAGGTAAAGGCGCGACCATAGGTAGTAACACATATTCTCCGTAATACAGGGTTGTGTTTGAGAGAGTATCCGACGATCGAAAATGCGAAGGTGACCTTCGAGGGATGGAACGGAAAGTACCCTGCCCCAGCACGGGGGATTGTCAATTTCCGCTGCGAACATCCAAAAGGATTCTCGGATGGAGCTCTTCTTCACACGGCTGAATGCGCCCCTTTGAATCCGGATTCTTGGTGCATCTCTTTCCGGGAGGATGCAGTTCTATGTGAGAGCATATCATCATAAAATTCACAACCACTTCCTTGAGCTCCCTGTTTATCTTTTCAGTTGTACTCACCTTGCCGCTTCGAGGGAAATTAGAACACAGTGTGAAAGTAAATTGTGCGATTCTTTCGCACGCACTTCTTCTTCTCCAATCCTTTAAACCCAGATATAAATATCAGTGTTTAAAATACTGGATCTGTTTAAACCAATGCCCACTATACGCTTCATGCGATTCTGAGGTGGGCAAGTCGATATGAAAATGAGAATAATAAAAAATTTAGTTTCCAAGAGGTGGAGTCGAAAGGGAAAACATGACTGCAAAAACAAGGTTTGTATTCCTGTGGGTCAAGAAGAATTTCAAATGGTTTGATATTAGAGAGACGTCAGTATAGGTGTTATCGGTCGCTCCTATTTCTAACATCGCCCGATTCGAATATGTTTTTGTCCTGATAAAACTAGCCGAAAAGTACCACCACCAATGATAACTTGAAATTCTAATCATGACCATACATATTTTATTTGCAGATTTTCTCCTAGCATGACATTGAATTTCAATATATATTCATGGTAGTAGACTACATGCATTTTTGGGCAAAACTTATTACCCCTCGTATAAGACAACTTTCTAGAAGCATGTCTCTAGACATTTATGGAGAGATTTTTCGAGAACCATTTAGAAGGTTAGGAGAGGTATAGCTGTGAAAACAGCAAATCGACCTAAAAGTTCTGGGGTTGGGAAAAAATGCATAGGCAACGACTGACAACGACCGAGGTAATTGACCCCTAAACGCATAACCCTTAAATCTATAACGAGAGGAACTTCTTTTTTCGTTCCTCGCACTTATATTCTGGAAATGTAAATGTGAATTTGAATATAATTATGTATGTAAATGTTCATGTTGTCAATTATGATCGAATATTTTCGAGAAAATGCCCACTTCCTAAAAGTTCATACGAAAGGGAATGCTCATTTCTTCACTTGCTTACTGTAGGAGATGTGTAGACTTTCTTCAAACTCTGACTGCCGTGTTCCTTAAGGCCGATTCACTCATGTCAGTATCGCAGAGCTTGGCAAATAAAAATGAGCAGCTGGAGATGACACATGGTAAAAAAATGATTTCTTAATTTCTATCCACAAACGGTATCTCTAAGAGATGTGTTTTGAGGATGAGAGGTTCAAAAATGATCATGGTAAATCTCAGTGATACCTTTCTTCAATCATTCCATTCGCATTTTTTTGTTCATCGTCGCTCTCACATTGGATTTAATTATTGGCAGGTGAGAAAGTGCATATATATCCAGAATGTCTTCTGACGAAAAGAGGCAAGGAATATGTTGGAAAAGTGAGTGTGACGAAATCAGGACGGAAATGTCTCAAATGGAGAGACTATCCCGGTGGAACGTCGGATGACTACCCAGGCGGTCCACATCTAAACTTCACGACCTCTGACCCCTCTGGAACACCAATCATCAACCTCGGTGACGAGAGCTACTTCCTTAATCGGGACACCTGGTCTCACCACAACTACTGCCGAAATCCATACTTTGGGAAGAGACCTTGGTGCAACGTTTCCGGCCCTAACATCACATGGGAATACTGTAACATCCCAATGTGCACTGACGCAGGTAAAATATTGCTATATTTTTTTTACGTATTTTAAGAGTGAACAATTGACAAGGTGACGAGTTTTCCCATGAGGGAATCAAGGAAGAAGGGAAGGGTAAGGTGATCCGTAGGAGCATTGCAACGTCACCTAAGCTCTTACAGTGAGATGGCCGGTTAATGGCCAATTGAAATCGTAATATTGGCACATCATGATTTATTGGATGAGTTGTTCCGCGTTCCTAGCGAGGAAAATTTGCAATATTCCTTGTAATATTCCTTGAATTTTTACAATGTCAGGCTAAAAAATTATGGAATCAAAATGTTACAAACTAGGCCAACTTTGAAGAGCCATTCTTGCTCCATGAAGATAGTGCACAAATATTTATCCTCTGCACATTCTTTTAAACTCTTCCAGATATTAATCCAGATACATATGTGATTGGTGGCAGGATTAGCCAATTCATTGTTCTTGTTCTCTATAGGGTAAGGAACAATTGACAGGCGTTATGTTCTTTCGAGGTAATTTCGACCCCATTCGAACTCAATCAGGCAGGGCACTTGACCACTTCTGATTTAGCAATAAAACTTTTTATCGTTAGCAGTCAATCTTACGACTCCTTAAAAGAAAAAATCGGCTCCATTGGGTCTGAAGTAAGTGATATATCGCCCCTCAAACTGTGGGGGAAAATGGAAAAATTCCCATGGATGGCAAAATTTTTATCTTAGGAACCGTTCATCGTACGGAGGCTTCAATAGCTCAAATCGGAGCTCTTCGATAGTTTAACAATTATCTTCATACGTCCTTGGAGTTTCAAAGTGATTTCAACGTCATAGTTGATTTCAAAAATGTGTAATTTAGGCAATATTGCCCGTCAAATATCCCAATGTGTTGGGCAATAAAGCAAATCTCTCGTTACGGTAAGTTGCACTCCGTTTTTGGTTGCACTGAGAAAGCAAATTATTTTATTTTCATTTTTCTCCACTACATAGAGAAAATCTCATCTAAAACCTTTAATTTTCTACTTTTTGGTTATCTTTGGTTTTTATCGATGTGGCGGAGCACTTATGGTATTATGGGCAGTGTATCCAGGAATGTGAGCCCTAGATCTTTTGAATGATATATAACTTGGAATACCTTTTTTGAAAATAACGAAGAGAAAAAACTCCAAAAGTTGGTTTCTCAATAAATTTTCTTTTTAGTGACCTCGAACATCTACGATTTTGACGAAAATTGGCATGCACGTAGAGGAGTCCATTTAAAGAAGACCATTCTAACCAATTTTTTGTCGTTTCAACGTACTGTACACATGATGCTCCATAAATGAAGCAATTGAGCACCAATATTGTTTGCTGTAGTAAAAAATTCATAACTTTCTCTTTTTAAATAAATATTATAACTCTGGGTTCATGGAGTGTCTAACACAGATTTCATCCCTGGAAGCTGTACGATCAATTATAAATTTTTGGCAATGCGATGAGAAATAGTCACATCGTATTCAGTCATGAAATGCCAATCTTGAATTTCGCGGCTTTAGAACCAGCCTTAATTGCACTTTTTAACGAATATTACAACATGAAAGTCATGGAGGCATGATGGAAATGTCCTCGGTTTTTTTCAATGGTTTCCCCCGTAAACAACTCTCGTAATTGCGGATATTGGAATGTGAAGTCATGTGTAAATTTAAAGTTGAGCGTAACTCCTGTAAGTAAACATAACCAGCAGGTCAAGAAAGCATTATAGGCCAAAACGGCAGTCACTCAATTTACTCATTGACATTGCTTTCCCTAGCGCTTTTTTGCCCAAGGCCGCCGATAATACTGCCTCTGAACCTGATCGTGAATTTGGATTTGAGATAGCAGACTTTCCCATAATGGAGACGTATTCCATACTTTTATATGACTGCCACGAACGGAACTCTACGAGAAAGAAAGACCCTGTGTTGATCCCCGTTACCGACCTGTCGTATCGAAATCAGAGGCTTCTGAAAGCGCCCCTCCAGGTTGAACCAAATTTTCTGCACCAAACGAAACAAAAACTTTTAATGTGTTATTCTGTGAGCAAAATATGCAATGATATAAATTTATGCAGAAACCAGATGGGACGAATCCAATTTATTATACGAAGCTCTGAGAGCCCATTCTAGAGGAAAATTACACGACTGTGTTCGACTACTCCACTAAAAGTAATATTTTTGAGAACACAAATTTTGGAATTTTCCAATCTCGTTTCTTCAAAAATGGCATTCCAAGTTATATATCATTCGAAAGATCTCTGGCCCTGGAGACACAACCCATGATACCAAAAGTGCTCTGCCATAACAAAAAACTCGACAAAAGATTACCAAAAAGTAGAAAATTAAAAGTTTTTAGATAAATTTCTCTCTATGTAGTGGACATAAACTTAAAAAAAAATAATTTACCGTAACGAGAAATTTGCTTTTTTTGTCCAACACATTGGGATATTTGACGATCAAAATTGCTTAAATTACACATTTTCGAAATCAACTATGACGTTGAACTCTCCTTGAAACTCCGAGGATGTATGAAGATAATTGTTACACTAACGAAGAGCTCCGATTCGAGCTATTGAAGCCTCCGTACGATGAACGGTTCCTAAGATGAAAATATTGCCATCCATGGAATGTTCCCGTTTTCCCTCAGAGTTTGAGTGGCGATATATAACTTACTTGAGACCCAATGGAGCCGATTTTTTCTTTTACGGAGTCTTAAGATTAACTGCAATTACTGATAATGTTTTATTGCGAAATCCGAGATGGTCGAATGCCCTGCCTGATTGAGTTCTAATGGAATGACTCAGGGAGCAACCAGGTCACTCGAAAATATAGGGTTGGAAAGAAAGTCTTGCAACACTTTCTAAAACTATTTATGAAAATTTTCAAAGGAACGATGGACGGGGCATTGCATTTGTATATGCTGGAATGTTCTCGAAGCTTCTGACCTCGATGTATATAAGGCGGCTTCTGCCATTAGTTGGCAGCCATGATTCCGATCGAACAAGCATTTCTTTGCCCCATCGTCTACTACGAGTTCCTCCAAGGACACTCTGCGAGAGCCGCCGAGAAAAACATCTGCACTGCATTCAAGGGCAACGTCTTCCACTATTCNAAGGGCATCGAGCAGTTACCCGTGCGTTGGGAACATGTCATAGACAACTATGGTCATTACATTGTAGACTCAAATTGCATATCAATTAAGTTAAAACATTTTGAAAATTTTGCGCAGTGTTGCAAGACTTTCTTTCCAAACCAATATTTCTCAGACATTTCATGTGGAATCAATATGTATTGATGGGTATGAATTCCAAATGAAATGGCACTTCCCCCTTCTTTGCCACCAGTCCCACCGGAGTGCAAGTTGACTCAACAAGGCGGGGAATACATGGGAAGAAAGAATGTGACGATCCGAGGAGATCCATGCCTGCCTTGGAGAGAAATCAAATACGCTCAATATTCCCAATCGGCATACCCGGATCCATATGACGTCGACGTGCATCACAATTTCTGCAGAAATCCGCAGACGATGAAGGGCAACACACAATACTACATGAGTGTGAACATTGCTCCTTGGTGCTACTACGATGATGGAGGCAGTATAAGTTGGGCTTTTTGTGATATCCCATTCTGCAACAGGCAAATTGAAGATAAAGGAGCCAGGACGGGCGTTTACCCGGAGTGCCGACTATCAGAGAAAGGGAAAGAATACATTGGAAGTAAGAACGAGACAGAAACTGGAAAGGCTTGCCTATCGTGGGATTTAAATCCATACGGCGTTCCTTGGGATTTTTTCCCGAGAGGAAAAACTTTTTTCACCAAGTACTTTCATCCCCCCACTAATTTGCCTGTCGCTAATGCCGGCCATAACCACTGCAGAAACCCAGGGGTGTATAGGGAGCGACCATGGTGCTTCGTTTCCGACGTCGAGAAGAAGTGGGAGTACTGCGACATCCCGTTCTGCCAAGACCTAAGTTCGTCCATTCTCATCTCGCAGTATTGTATCAGCACCTTGAGTTTCTGTTATTATGGGTGGTGTTTACTTTCTTAGAGGAAAGGGAGGAACTTTATCGACGGTTACATCTTTGAAAATATTTGGGAATATATTAGAAGCAAAGAAGCATAAACTGGAGTGTTTTGTGAATGGGAGCATTGGATATAACATGTTAATCAGAGACCCTGACTGAAACCTGGGCCCGATTACCATGACAAAGATCCATAAGTTTTCTTGGGATGGAAAACAAAGTCATTACGTAAAAAGACATTTGCTTGCCAAGAGAACGATAGCATGGATGTAAGCCTAAGGCAATCACAACCACGTACCACACTCATGGTGAGTGTAGTACTCAGTTGTGATGTGATCCACACCAAATTAGCGTTGAATCAATGTTATGTGCTACCTGGGCAGATGGATGGGGATAATTCTAATGAAGCGGAGGAAAGCACAGAATTAGGGAGAATGAATCATGAGTGATGCGTCAGGATTTCCGGAATGGGAAAAAGCGTAAGAACGACCCCAAAAACTGCCTATAGTCTCTTCCTCAACCTTCAACTTTCGGAAACAGGATCTCAACGTTCCACGACTTATCTAGCAAGACCTTGTTGTATTCATCCCCAGGGAAGACTTAGCAAACAGCTTCATGACAATTGAATATCCTTAAGAGATAGGGATATCATCACTCTAAAGCCCAGGACACACAGTTCAGACTAGATATGAAAACACTTTCTCCGAATAGACAGCATTGGAAGACACGGTCTCAAGCGGATTTATATATCACTGTTGCCAATAATAAATATGAACCTGTGTGCGTATCACCTCCTCATATTTCAACTGATCCCTTTCGTTTCATAGATCCACCAGAATGCAAAATGACCTGGCATGGAGCGGAGTACGTGGGGAAGCTGAACGTGACGATATGGGGGGTTCCCTGTCTACCTTGGCTCACGCTCATAGATGAGGATTGGGAACTCATATTACACGATGAATTGGATGGAGGGCACGCGTTTTGTCGTAACGATGACTTCTACGGAGGTGGTCCGGGATGTTATATCTACCCCGAAGGCACTGTGCGTTCATGGCGACATTGCGACGTTCCATTCTGTCCCACCGTCAAGGGGAAAATTGCGACGTTCGAGTTGGAGGAAATTGTGTCAGTGAGTAACTAACTCTTCTTGTGAAACTTGCTAATCAAACTCGTTCTTGTGGTCTTGGGTCTTCCCTAGTACATTTCTAATACGTGGATTTAACTGCAATTACACTTTTTTTTTTACAGCCCCACTAGAATGTATAACAGACGCGAAAGGGGAGTCATACATAGGCACGAAAAATGTGACCAGAAAAGGATACAAGTGCTTGCCGTGGATTGCTGGTCGGATGAACAAAGAGGTGGATGCGTACTCGGACTATGAGGAAAATGCAGCTGAAACTCTCAAAAGAATCTTCATGAGGTTATCGGACGACTTGTACCCAACCCACAACTTCTGTCGGAACTGGAACAATGACGATGAAGGTCCTTGGTGTTATAAGAGTGATGAGATTGGTAGGGATCATTGCGATATCCCCATCTGTACCTAAGACCTTCCAGAGAAGTATGAATATTAATTTTGCCTTGCTTGTATTACTTAAATATTCTCCCATTACTACTTGCTCACATTTCTTTCTATTCCAAGGAGGTTTTCGCTTCGGTCTGCTTCTAATTTCTGTCTCGGTTAAGCTCCGCCTTTATCGACACGCGGCAAATGGTATCCTTGGCGAACGCAAAACCAAACCCGGTCCAGCCCTTCACACGTAACTATGCCATGAAGAATGGGAAACCTTTTGCATTGTTCCTGGCTGGTAACGATACGAATCGCCCATTGGTGTTCAACGTGTCTTTAATTTTCAGCATTTTGTGTTATGGGTTGGGAGTCGAATGGCTTCATTTCTTTTACTTGCGGGGTGGGGGGGGGGACTGGGAAAATTAAATTATGCCAAGCCCTTTCGAGTAATATTTCATTACAATTACGTTCAAGAATATCCCACCGCATCATTTCCAACCCGCTGTGTTGCGATTTATTCGAATTTCGAAATGTTCATGCAATGAACATTTTTGTTTTTTCAAGTGAGTCGAATTTCTGCTAACCTGTGCATCGTTGCATGCCAAACAAGTTTCATCACTCGCATGTCTTGATTACACGAATAGTGCCATTATCCTAACTAATTTCGGTTTTCAGGGTTTGAATTATTTGTTAACGTTTTTGAATTTTTGAAAGACTTGTGTGCTAACAGATCATAATTATTCCTCTAAATCTCTGGACAGATATGCTATCTAATCAAGTACTTTCACTAAAAGAGACCGAAAGTTGTGATGGCTACCATTTCTAATGCGCGAGATCATATTTCTATTCCTATATATATTATATTATACTATATCATATTCTATGCATTTCTTGGCCACGGGCCAAGCCATCCAAGGCCAAAAGCGTCAGGCCAGCAAGACCCTGCCATTCAGGGCCATAGGCTGGCCACAAAAACATTGGAATATCTAATATACCTAGGTATATAGACGATCGTGACTGACTGACGCTAATTCTTACCATGTTCTAGAGAAGAAACCTGAAACTTGGTACACACATGTACCTTTTGGGAAACAGAGTTCAGAGAAATCCGGCTTTGCAGGTACATGCCCTAGAGGCACATATTTTGAGGGGAGATTTTTCAATTTTTTTTTGCTTCAGTTAAACTGATGAAGAAAGAAAGCTGAAACATGACACGGATGTACCTACTAAGATTCTGAGTTCAGGAAAAATGTCAAGTTTTGGATGCATGCTCTGGGGTATATTTTTGGGGGTGATGTTTTCAAATCTTCTTTTGTCCTTCCGAATTGGGTAGAAATGGAAAACGGAAACTTGGCACACCAATAACTGAGGTGATGGTGAGTTCTGAAAATTTCAGGTTTTGCAGTGCAAATCCTCAAGGTACAGCTTTAGGCTGCATCGGCTTTTCCAAATATATTTTTACACCAACAAAATGAGCATATGATTAAGCTGAAACTTTGTAGGCACGTAGTTCTCTCAGAATAGTTTCCAGTAAAACTTTTTTTTAGATATACCCCTGAGGGCGCATTTTTTTTTGCAAAAGGCTAATTTTCCGGTATCTTTCCTCATCTAATGAGAGAGAGAGAGAACTAAAGAAACTTGAAACTTGAAGCTTGAACTCCCATTGCATCATTTCCTCCGGGGGGGTTGCATTTATCTCTCGATCATATTCTGAGATGGATCATTCAGTGAGAAAATTGTATGGCGGTGTCGCAATGTTCATCCGATGAACATTTTTCACTTCATCAAGTGAGTCGCATTTCCCATTTCCCCTCACCTATTGCATCGGCGCATACCAAACCGGTTTCATTATTCGCTATGTAATTCCATATTGGTTTCAATCATGCTAATAATGCCATTTTCCAAATTCCGAGGGTTTTCGTTGTTTCCCAACTACATCAAGTAGGAAAACTTTGAATAGCGTCGTGCATGACCCTAACATATCTACATTATTTGAATGAGAGCGTTCATGAATAAAATTACTTTTTCAACGGGTGTGGCATCCACTCTCACAGAATGAATTCAATTCAATGAGTTCAAAGACAGGTGTGTATATGGTATCCCATCGCAGACTCACAGGGAATCAACGTTGATTCAACGTTATTGCGTCAATGCGGCTGACGTTGAAGCCACATGGGCTTGTCGACATTGAATCTATATTGAAATTTCATTTTCATCAACAATTGATTCAACATTGACATCAACGGTATATCAACATTGATTTAATGTTCAACAGCAACATTGAAATGTTGATTCAAAATTTGCTTATCAACGTTGACTTCATATTGAAAATTCATTTTCTTCAACCTTAATGTTGAACCAGCGATGGCGCAACGTTGACATGACATGAGTCTCAACAAGCAGTTTAATTCTTGCCTATACGCTGTTTCATTACAGAAGTATTATTTGAATACTAGCCGACCCATAGAAGACTTCCACGTGTTGGTATCGAATCACGAAAACTCATGTCGACGAATAAGACATTTTGTCGAAAGAGAATTGAGCGAACGCGACCATGCATCGATTCATTCATTCATTGAAGTGCCTGGAGATCGGAAGGTTTAGGTCACCGAAGGCTTACAAAGACGAAAAATTACTGCTTTTATTTTCTTCGTCTTGCCCGTCTTGATTCTTGTGAGTCACACCTTCGAATCGTGTTAGATGTAATCAAGTCTCTACAAGAGCAGGATACGTTTTTGATTCATGCATTTTCGGTGAAAGAAGGTGGGGCACTGAAAAATCATTGAGCCTTATCTAATATATATAGACGATCGTGACTGACTGACTGACGCTAATTCTAACCATGTTCCAGAAAGGTTAGAAACCTGAAACTTGGTACACATGTANCGCTAATTCTAACCATGTTCCAGAAAGGTTAGAAACCTGAAACTTGGTACACATGTACCTTTTGGGTTGCAGAGTTCAGAAAAAATCCGACTTTGGAGGTACATGCCCTGGGGGTACATATTTTGGAGGGAGAAGTTTTTTTAAATATATATCGTCATGGATAAGGATGTCTTCGAAAGAGGTATCAGTATGTCAACGTTTCGGTGGTGTAGTTGTTGCACGTTCAGCCCGTAATCGTGAGGCCTGGGTTCAATTCCCGCCCATTACATGCCTTTTTTTTGGCTTCTCTTGCCTTCCATGTCCCTTGGCTAGAGTAAAACGGAGAGAAATAGAAAGCTGAAACGTGCCATGGATGTGCCTACCGACACAATGGGTTCAGGAAAAATGCAAAATTTTGGATCCATGCCCTAGGGGCATATTTTTGAGGGGCAAACTTTTTCAATTTTTTTTTTTTGTCCTGGTGTATTGAGCTAATATGGAAAGATGAAACTTGGTGCAGAATTACCTTCCGGGATGCTGCGTGCAGAAAAATGCAGACTTTGGAATAGAAATGCCCTGGGGGAATGAATTTCAAAGGGAGATGTTTTCACAATTTTTTTTGCAATAGTTAAACCGTTGGACATGGAAAGCTGCAACATTGTATGAATGCGACTACCAAGATAAGGAGTTGAAGAAAAATGTTATGCCTTGATACATCCTCGGGGGAAAATTACTCGACGCGCGATGTTTAAAAAAAAAGAAATTGTCGTGGTGAATTGGACAGAAATGGAAAGGTGAGACTTGGCACACATAAAAGTGACGTGATCTTATGGATTTGAGGGAGTATTCAGCTTTGATGGTGCATCCCCTCCGGGCATAGCATTTGCGTGGGTGGCTTTCTAAACATCATTTTTCACCAGCGAAAAAGGCAAACGTATAATATTGATACTTTGTAGCCATGTAGTTCACTGAGGTTTGATTTCGGTAAAAATGGTACTTTTCGGTTAAAACGCCTGAGGGCACATATTTTGCAAATTTTCCTGAATTTTCTGATCCAGCAAAACGGAGATTGCTGAAAAGGTTGAACTTTGCAAAGAAATAGAAAGATGAGTAGCTGAGAAAAGAAACAATTCTACTATCATCTAATATATATAGACGATGGTGACTGACTGACTGAGGCTAATTCTAACCATGTTCCAGAAGGGTTAGAAATCTGAAACTTGTTACAGATGTACCTTTTGGGATGCAGAGTTCAGAAAAAATACGACTTTGGAGGTACATGCCCTGGGGGTACAAATTTTGGGAGGAGACGTTTTTCTTAAACATATATTGTGACAGATGAGGATGGCATTCAGATAATCCACAGGTTGTACTGAGTTCGGTGGTGTAGTAGTAGCATATCTGACTGACATTTGGACGATCGAGGTTCAATCCTCGGGCTTCCCTTGGTTTTTTTTTGCCTTCTATGTCCTGTTACTCATTCCCCCTCAATAACATTATTTTTGCTTGAGTAAAACGGAGAGACATGGAAAGCAGAAAGTTGGCATGGATGTGCCTACCGAGACGATGCTTTCAGGAAAAATGTAAAATTTTAGATCCATGCCCTGGGGGCATATTTTGAGAAGCCGGGGATTTCAATATTTTCTTTTGTCCTGGCGTATTGAGCTAGTGTGGAAAGATGAAACTTCATACGTAACTACCTATTGGGATGCTGCAGAAAACGTCAGCCATTGGAAGTAAATACCCTCTGGGCACAAATTTCAAGGGGATTTATTTCCAAATAATTTTTTTTGCATCATTTCAATCGATGAACATGGAAAGCTGAAACTTCGTATGAATGTGACAACTGAGACAAGGAGTTAAATAACAAATATTAAGCCTCGATACACCCCCTGGGGAAATTTTTCCCGAATTGGACAAAAATATGGATTGGTGAAACTTGGCACATGTATAAGTGACATAATATTACTGAGCTGAGGGAGTATTCATTTTTCAGGGTGCATCCCCTCCGGGTATCCAGGGTGGGTCGGCTTTTCCAAACATGTTTTTTTTTCACTAGCGAGAAGGGCAAACGTATAATATTAAAACGTTGTGGACATGTTCACTGAGGATTGATTTCTGTAAGAAAAAAATGGTACATTTCGGTTAAAACGGCTCAGGGCACATATTTTGCAAAAGGCGTATTTTCACGAAATTTTTTCTGATCCAGCAAAACAGAGGGCGCATGAAAGTGAAAAAAAAAACTTGGCAAGTAAGTTCCTGATGGATAGCTGCGTAAAGAAAAAATTTCACTTCTAATATATATAGATGATGGTGACTGACTGATGCTAATTCTAACCATATTCTAGACATGATGAGAGGCTGAAACTTGGTACACACAATGCTGTTAGATTGCTGACTCCAGAAAAATTCCAGCTTTGGGGGTAAGTGCCTTGGGGGTTCATTCCAGGTGGTCTCATTTTGTAAGCCTAGGTCCAACCCTCAGACAGACGCTTAGGCCTAAGACATTCTCAGGCTCTCTTTGCCTTCCGCAAAACGGAAGGAATGTGAATAGCTGATGGGTTGTCGATTCCAGAGAAAGTCTAACTTCGAATGCCCAACTTTGGGGGTCCATGCCCTGGGGGCACGTTTTGTGGGAGGGGTTGGGGAAGAAATTTCGCAGGCCTAGGCCTACCCCATGGATGGCCGCATAGGCCTATAATACTTTGATACACACTGCTCCTGAAAGGAAACGGGATGGAAAGTAAATAGATGTTGGTTTGCATACTACAGATACAGTTCGCCATTGGCGGTACTTGCCCTGATGGGAATGATTCAGCAAGCTTATATCCAACACTTGGACGATTGCTCAGGCCTACAATGATTCTTATATTGATATTAGTGATATTAGCCATATAGGCGTTAAAACTTTCAAGTGACTCATGTGGTTATATGGCTGCTATTACTCCTACTTTTTTGGAGATTGATATGCTATCAGGAGTGCCTCGACCATAGACAGGAATTGCATAAACCAATGGAGCACTAAACGACACACCTACAATAAATAATTGGTGATCCTCATGCTACAGATGACATGGCGTCATTAAGAACATGTTCTTTGACACCTTTACTTTAAAGGTGCGAGAATTGAACCCATGAACAAAGGAGTTTGACTGCATTAGTAGGGGTGAGCATCGAAAACGGATGCCTTAGATCGCAGAGCGCCGAAGGCGCGTCCATAGCTATAGCAAACTCGCTATGAACTCGCTAGTAAAGTATGAAAACGCAAGGATTTTTGCGTTAACCCCAAAATTCTACGCCTGTAAGGAATTTGGCTCCTAGCTGCATCCAACTATTTATTTCCGTGAAGTCTTTGTTCGGTACATGTCAGGCATAGAAGGTCTGATCAAAAAGTTACAGTTCTTTTATTCGTAAACTTTATTCTTAATGAGTACATTAAAATTAATTGTTGTCCCCCTCAAAGTATTCCCTCCCCTCGATTCTATGCACTTATTGCAACGCTCCTGCAACTTCTGGAAGCAGTGCTGGAAGTCCTGGAGTGCAAGACTCTTAAGCTGCCTCGTGGTCTTTTCCTTGATGCTTGCAATGTCTTCAAATCTTTTTCCTTTCAGGCGAAGCTTAATCTTGGGAAATATGTAAAAGTCACACGGAGCCAGGTCCGATGAATAGGGAGGGTGGGGCGACACAGGAATTTCTTTTAGCTAAAAACTCTCGAATTTTGAGAGCAGTATGGGCTGGAGCATTGTCGTGATGCAAAAAGCAGGCTTCATTTTGGAGAAGTTGGGGCCGTTTTCTCCTAATTTTTTCTCGCAGACGGGTCAAAACATCTGTGTAGTAAGCCTGGTTAACTCTCTGGCCTTGTGGGCTAAACTCATCATGCATCAGGATTATGATGCGCGATCGAAAATTCGACGAAGAGCACAGAAACAACCGGATTTCAACACTCGTGAGTCACGAATGGTTAATCTTAGCGCAAAGGAGGTTTCAACATGCGTGCGGTTAACTCCCTTACACTAGTCCTAGCCCCCTACCTAAAGTGGTTTTTTTTTTAACAAGAAAGTAATGGAACTTTTTCATCAGACCACGAATGTAAAACGTTGAGCTGGAGCTTCAGAAATTTTTTGGTTTTTGTCATCATCAACCGACCCAGTGGTGTCAACCTGCCGGCCGGCGGGTTGGATCCGGCCCTCTAGTTGATTATGTCCGGCCTGCGTGGTCCTCTTCAATAGTTGCTTTTGGTGGAGATGGACTTAACGAACGATACGGACAGGGTTGCGATTGTCACGGGAATGGAGTGCCGATCGGCACGAGGACGGGGTTCCGATGGATGAAGGGGTCAGGATCCCGATAAATTTAGAGGTGGAGAACTCATCCCGGCGAGGAAGTCTTACTTCCTCCAGCGGGATGAAAGGGGACTTCAAGGGTCATATGAGGGGATTTTTTACCCGTTCCCATGGGAAAGTCGTATCGTTAGGTGTGAATACCACATGGGTACACTCTTAGAAAATTGCTAGCGTTTAAGGAGTAAAAAGTGAGCCCACTGTGAGCTTTTCAAATGTACTCCCTTTTTACTCCCTAATGCTCCCACATCGCTCGTATGGAAATGAACACCTTTAAGTTCTTTGCCAGGCCGCTAGATGGAGGCAATGATCTCGTTTTTCGCACAGGACACAAGAGTTCTCTTCCCTCTTTCTCGGGAATCAACCCTCGCAGGATTGCTTAGTGCCTCGTCATATGTCTCGCCTAGTCTCATTATATGAATCAATAAACTCGGACACTTCTTCATTTGTAATCCACATATTCGAGAGAGATTCATAGAGCCTAGGCCATAAATAAGCTCATATTCCTGATGATAACCCTTGTGAAGATCGAAAAGTTCATCCCCAGAGGAGATATCGATTACTAAAAGAGTGCTCGTCAGGTGAATTCTGCTTTTTTCGACTTGAGAGAAAGAGGAAATCATCGTGACATCGTGGACACTTCATGGAATCGTGAGAGGTGGTCCATCCTTTGACATCTACTGAAATCAGTACAGTTAGATGTAGGTCAACACCCGTGATGACAAAATCGAGAGCGAAAGCAGCACACAGTATAAATGAGGATTTGCGTATTTGCATGACATGCCTATCGCTTTCTGAGAGGAACATTTTTCACTCCTTGGCGATGGAGCGAATTCGCTCCTTTCCCAGAGTGAAAGGGTGGTGAAGCTGGAGTTTGCAACTTTACTTTCTTTTTTGAGAAAAATCGCTCTACTTTTTCTAAGAGTGTAAAGGAGGGGATGGGGGGTGCGCAAGACGTACAATTCCTGAAAGGGTCGTTGACTGAAATTCTAAGTTCCTGAAAATGCTATAAGCTCAGCGTAGCCCAGTTGAAATTGTTTGCTGGTTTTATTGTAGGGCCATAGCTGGGGAAGTTGCCTCATTTCCGGCGAATGATTGGCCAGCCAGCTCACATTTACGAGTTGAGTCATTCGCCGGAGATGAGCCAATTTGGCCGAGAAGGTTCCAATAACAGGCGTAGATGGAGCAAAATAGAAAAAATCCCCCAAAGCAATTATCACACGTTTTCAGGTCTGGGCTTGGGACGGCCACATCACATCAGATCGTATCTCAATCCATCGTCCACTGAATTCCTGATTCAAATATTCCCAATCTGCGAAAGCATAATGCCACCTTTGCAACATGATGAGATATGCCGTGTGGATAACCGGTCCTTCGAAAAAATATGAACTAACCAAGTGATCTGTGGAAATGGCTGCCCATATCATGAGATAGGGTGGGTGCTGCTCAATTTCCTCGAAATATTGTTGGTTTTCTTTGCACAAGAAAAAAAATTATGGCCCGATTGCTCGCATGAATTGCATCTGAGAGAAAACGTGTGGCTAGGTCTAATGAACGGGTAAACGTTGTAACAGTGCCATACAGGCAGCTTCACGCGCATCCAAGTCTCTATTACATAGTTCATCGACATGTTCAGGCTTAAATGGTCTCAACCCCAAGTCCTTGGTTCAGATTTACTGGAATGTTAAGCGTGGAAGCTCTGATTCTGCTGTTCCACGTTGATTTCCGGGGAGGAAGTGGAACAGGATGCTTCCACAATATCGACATGAATCACTCAATCAATCAGTCGACATGAATATCGACATGCATGATGCAGGACGACCAGAGCAGTTTGCATCGAGCACGCTTCCTGCCCTGAATGCTTTCTTCTATCATGCCCGTAATGTTTCACGTGAAGGAGAAGTTTTATTGAACCTCTGTGAAAACCTGGTTCTTCTTTCTTCATCACTTGTCTGGTCTCTTTCACGATCGTGGACCCACACACTCGCTATTAATATTTCCTCTACCATAAACTCATTAACGTCTGCCTTGTTGAAATACAGTAAAGCAAAAAAATTAAGAAAAAACAAACTAATATTTCATGAAAGGGAATTTTTGTGGCCACCCTGTAGGTCGATCTTCAGGTATGGAACGCTCGATCTTGAATATATATTATTTTTAATCCCTTCCCGACACACGCTTTTGAGGATATTAGCGGAATGAGAGGATTCCAGCGATGAAGAGTCACTGTTCTAGAGACATCGATGAAGCAAGATTTTTTTTCATATATTCAAGGCTCAATACCTCAGGGCAGCTTCGCCCTAACACTCTTCACACGGTCACCGGTTGCGTCTTCTCAATTACTACTCTCGTGGTATTTTTATGCTTCTGGTGATGAAATTAGGAAACTTGAGTTTCTGCTCTCCCTGTGCAGAGTCGATCCATGGGCAACCTCTGATATCGCCTGATATTATATTTTATCACCATGATGGTATGAACGAATATGAATAATTTATGGATTCAGCTCAGAGCACAACACGTACAGAGAGGTGCGATCAATCGATCTGGAATTCACGGAAGGAAGGAAAGAGAAGGAGGGCCTGGTCGGCACGATGTGCGTACAGAGAAGAGTATGCAAAGGACCATACATTAGAGAAGGAAAAAATATGAATCAACTACTCTTGATAATCCGTCAAGACTGTAGTTGAAAAAAAAAATAGAGGAAAGTGAATGTCAGTCGACCACCATGGATGGCGT